ACCCCTGGGAGGAAGAAATGCAAGCTGGATCTTTAGACTTTGCTGGGCAGCACGCTGAAGAAGCCAGAGGCCAGCTACCTCCATGTGAGCGGATCCAGGAAAGCCTGGGCCACACCTGCACACCCACACTGGGGAGCGTTCGGGGTGCTGTGGGCTGTTTCTGTTCTTCCTGGCCCCACTCCATCCCAACGCACGTTGGTGTGTGTGTGCCATTTTAATTTCTCCTTTCTAGTCGCAGGCCTCCACCTTCTGATTCTTTTGGAATCAGATGAGGGACAGATAGACAAGACGGCTGAATGGACTGAAGCTGTCACTAGGTCCCCTGCCCACCTACCCGTGACTGGTGCTCAGAGCAAATGCCAACCAGCGTGCGCAGGGCAGCCAGCATGAGGTCCGTCTCTCCCGTGTCCAGCAGGCGCTGCAGGAGCTGAACCCCATTGCTCCGGAAGATCTTTTCAGCTCCAGCATCCTCCCGGGCCAGCACCACCAGGTTCTGAGACGCCTGTGGCAAAGGATGTGGGTCATAACCGCCAGACTGCATGGCCTGGGACAGGGCAGAGGCCCCGAGCGCTGGACCTCACTCCTCCACTTAGCAGCTAGGTGGCCTTGGCCATGAATTTAACCTCTCGGAAGCGGGCAGAGCCCGCCCTCGGGGTTGATGGTTGGAGTAAATGGGGTCCTGAGTCCCCCGCAGAGCCTCAAGGGACGCGGCTCAACCACCTCCACCCACCCAGCTCCTGGCACAGGGCCTGGCCGGCAAGGAGCTCCATAAATACCGCACCCTCTCCCTGGCTCTTGCCAAGGCCCCAGGCCCTCAGAGCTCCTGGCCAGGCCCCACAAGCCCAGGTGCAGCAGACCAGGCCGGCAGGAGACAGGAAGTGGACTGTGACGGGCAGCCCCAGCGGGAGTCCGGGGCCCATACCTTTTGCTTTTTCTCGGTGCCTTTCTCTTCTGGATCCAACAGTATCTGAAACATCTGCTCCACTTTGGCGTCCGTTGAGGACATGTACCGCACCTGTGATGAAACCACACGCATGGAAGAAATCGCCTCTGGGTCATGGGCACTGCGTGTCCCCGCTTGTCCCCTGCCATCTCTGGGAGGCCCAGTGAGGATGCATGGGCTCCCAATAAGCACCTTGGGCCGGAAGACTCGCCGGGCAGCTCCTCCGGAGCTTCCCGCGGCTGCTTTCCTTTCTGAGTGACTTCCTGCTTGGGAAGCAGGGGCAGCTATGAGGAAACTCGCCCCCAGTGGTGCCATCTTTGTCCTGGCGGCGTAAGCACTGGCATTTACACCCGGTGCAAGGGACTCGGCAGGCTGTGAGGACGTGCTAATGCTCTTTAGCTCCAAAATTATTCGGGAGTTTTCTTTAGAAAATCATCTGAATGGGACTTGTGCTGTGGCGTAGCAGGTAAAGCTGCTGCCTGCAGTGCCGGCATCCCACATGGGCACCGGTTCAAGTCCCAGCTGCTCCACTTCCAATCCAGCTCTCTGCTATGGCCTGGGAAAGCAGTAGAAGATGGCCCAGGTTCTTGGGCCCCTGCACCCACGTGGGAGACCCAGAGGAAGCTCCTGGCTTCGGATCAGCACACTTCTGGCTGTCTGGGATAGGAACCAGTGGATGGAAGAACCCCTCCCCCCCCAACCTCGGTCTCTCTGTCACAAGGCCAGCGCACCTCCCACCTTCCCCTCCGCTTCTCGCATCCACGGCAGACATGACTCATCAGTGGTGGCGGATTCCCCTGCTAAACCCGGGGAGTCTGCTTCCTGGTCCTTCTCAACACAGGACTCCAGGCAGCTGCTGCCAACCACACAGTGCTGGTATCAGGAAAGCGCTCTGCCTTCCTAGCTCCCAACCTTCGGTAAAGTGTTTCCATTATGTTACTTACAACATGTCAGCATGCTTTTTAGGACATCTTAAATATATATATATACACACACACATACATATATACTCCCCCACCCTACCCCTTGATTGAGAGGCAGAGAGACACAGACAGGGAACTCCTAACTCCTGGTTCACTCCCCAGATGCCCACTAGAGGGCGGGGCCAGGCTGACCGGCAGGTCCACGAAGGTACAGGGACCCAGTCACTGAGCCATTACTGCTGCTTCCAGGATGCACGTTAGCAGGAAGCCAAAAACAGGAGTGGAGCTGGGGTGTGCACCCAGGCACTCCAATACGGGACGCAGGCATCCAAGCTGCCTCTTAACTGCTAGCACCAACGCCCACTTTAACACCAAAGTAGCTGCTTGACACAGGCTTGGCGGTAGCTCATGGCGATTAGATTCTGTTTCCACCAGCTTTGAAACACGTGTACCACACACCGTTCCTTCTTTAAGAAATACTGACGGGCAGGCATTGTCCTCAGTACACCTGGGCCCTTATCAAGTCCTGGCTCCGCTCCCAATTCCAGCTTCCTGCCAGACACTGGTAACCACTCGAATAACTGGCTCACCACCACCCACGTGGGGGACCTAGACTCCCACTTCAGCCTGGTCTACCTCTGGCTGTTGTGGGCACTTGGGGAGTGAACCAGCAGACAGGAACTCCATCTCTGCTTCTCAAATTTAAAACAGTTAAGGGATGACGCAGGGACTCCACTCACTCCCCTTCCTTCCCCAGAGGTCACAGTGTTACCATTTTGATATACCCGTCCTTTCCTTTGGATGCCCACCCCCCAGGGTAAAGCAGTTTTCGGTGTGCGGGACCATTTTAACACACTGTGTGTTACTGAGCAGTCTTTCCTCATTGGACGGCTCTCCCATTGCCTCCGATCCGCCTGTTCTGAGTAACCACAACACGGGAGTCTGTAGTGACGACATCACCCTGGTATTTAGCCATTCCCCTCCTGCCAGGCATTTAGGCGAGTTCCAAGTTTTCCTTACTAGAAACAAGGCTGCAATAAACACACGCGTACAAACTCGTGCACGCAGGCAAGGCCTCTCTAGGGCAGGGGTGGGGAACGTCCAGTGTCTGAGCCATATAAGGCTGCGAAATCATTTGTTCTGGCCAAGGCAACCACAGAAGGGACTCAAAATTCCGCAAACTACAACAGGCTGCTTTTTAAGTCCATCATTCTGTATGGCCCATACAGGTGGACAGATCCAAACGGCCCTTGGCAGACAAAAGGTTCCCTCGCCCCTGCTCCAGGGAAAACAGCAAGAAGTGAACACACTGGGGTAGGTGTCTGTGGTGGGCAGGTGAAGCTGCAGTTTAGACACCCACATCCATATCAGAGTGCCAGGTCTGTCTTGTCTAGTCTGCTTCCAATCCAGCTTCCTGCTAACGCTCACGCCTGGGGAGGCAGCGGCAGCCAGCCCAAGTGCTTGGGTCCCTGAACTCCCGTGGGAGACCTGGCTGGAGTTCAGGGCTCCTGGCTTCAGCCTGGCCCAACCCCAGCTGTTGCCGGCATTTAGGGAGTGAACCAGCAGATGGAAGCGTTCTCTCTCCATCTCTCCCCTTCTCTGTCACTCTGCCTTTCAAATAAATAAATAAATAAATAAAACGTACCAAAGGGGGGGGTAAATATAGTAGATTACAGATTATGAGCATTTAACACTTCCAGACGTTGTACCAATTTCCACCCCCGCCAGCAGTCACACGAGCCCTGCCCCCCAATCTCACCACTTAAGCGGTGACAACTACCAGCACCAGGCTGCACCTGTAGTTTGCTCTTCGCCGGGCACCATCCTGCGCGCCCACGGCCAGGGAGCTGTGCCTACCCCCGCACCACCACCCGGCACCACCGCGCGGTGCCCGGCTCCCCCATACCTTCTCCTGGATCTGGCCCGCGATGTTCCGCAGGGCCTCCTGGAAGATTCTGTTCTTGGGCTCCAGGCTCACGCATCTCTGCAGGTCCAGCACGGCCTGGTCCAGGCGGCCCAGCTTCTCCAGGGCTTGGCTCCGCCGGTAGAGCGCTTTGATGTCCCCGCCGTCCTTTTCGATGGCTGAGCACAAACAGGAGCTTGTCAGCACCCGTGAGGCCACCGTGTCCGGGCGAGAGCAGGAGAGAAAGCTCTGGAGGGCCAGAGGAAGGGGTGGGGGTGGGGGTGGGAGACAGAGGTGGGGCTCGGTACTCCAGCCTCAGACAAGGTACAGGTAGCTGTGAAAAGGGCAGGCCCCAGCAAGTGCGAAGGGAGGAGGCAGGCGAGCTAGGGGGTCACAGCAGCAAACGCGGTGGTGATGCAGTGGCCCCAGGATTGTCGCCCGTGTCACGAGCCGGCGCTCGCCTACCTTTCGATGCCTCGGCTTCGGCTTTGTCATAGTCCTCCTGTGAGAGAGCAGGTGCCTGAGCGGAGGGTCCCCCCCTCCCGGGGACCGGCCGCGTGGCAGTCACCCACGCCCCTCCCATCCATTCCGCGGCCCCCCAGACATGTGACAAAGCGGGGTGGCCAGGCTGGGGCTCCTCACCAGCCTGAGGTGGCAGGCGGCCAGGTTCCGGTGCAGGACGGCCTGGTCCTGCGGCGTCGCGCCCAGACCCAGGGCCTGGGTGTAGGCCGCCAGGGCGCCCTCGTAGTCTCCGCATTTGAACAGCTCGTTGCCCTGCTTCCGCAGCTGCTCCGCCGAGCTGGCCTGTGGGGAGGGGGCGGCGGGCCGCGTCGCGGTGGGCTCGGGGGAGAGGGAGCGGGGAGCGCGGCCCGCGGGCGAGCGCCGTGCAGAGCCAGGAACGCGGGAGGCGGTGGCCAGGGTATGGTCAGGGAAGGGGCAAAGGGGTGATGGCGCGGAGGTGCAGGAAGAGCCTCGTACCCCGGGACGGCGGGCCGGGGCTCGGGGTGGGGGTGCCTGGACCACTCACAGTCATCGCAGAGTCGACGTCCCTTCCCCGCGCAGCCGCAGTCTCTGGGGCGGGGGTGTGTCTAGGCTCCGGAAGCCGTCGCGAGAGGCCCCGCCCAGCGCTGTGTCAGGGAAGGGGCGGAGCCACGGAGAGGACGTGCTGCCCAGGCGGGGCGGGGCTCTCCGTGCGCAGGCGCAGAGAGGGCCCCAGGCGTGCCTTGCGTGTTCACGCGGAGACCCGTAGGGGGCGAGCCGCCGAGGACCAAGAGGGAGGTGCGCGGCGGCCCCGGCGCGGGCTCCGGCCACGGCAGAAGTGCACCAGGTCTGTGGTCATTAGGGCCACCAGCAGCAGGCTGTAGAGGCCCAGCGCTAGGAGCGGGCCCGGGCCCCTATGGGAGAGGAGAGAGTGTTAGCAGCAGAGAAATGTAGATCTTCACGTACTCATTGGCGCACACATTTGGATGGACACTGGCATCCTGGGTGTAATCCACGCGCGACAGGCCCTTCTGAGCCGCCCCGACCCCCTCTGCCTCACGACACACCCCTTGACTCAGGGTGGGTGCCCACTTCCCGCAGCCCCCGGCACTTTTCCATTGCAGAAGTGTGTGTCATGATTGACGGGACTTCGCTCATTGTCCCCGCGCTAATCCGCAAACTGCAAACTCGCCACCCCACTCCACCCCGGAACCTGGGAACAGAGCCCCGGATCCTAGAATCCCTGGTCGGTGGCTCCGGGTTGGGGTCCGCACCTGAGGATGGGCGGGGGCGGAAGGGCGGACAGGTTGACTCGGTGTAGGGCCTCGAATTCTGCCCGCGTGCAGCAGGAGCCTTCGGCAGCCCGCAGGTGGCAGCAGTAGGCCTCCTCCGGGGGGTCGGAGAGCCGAGGGCAGAAGAAACCCCGGTGGAGGCGGCCGTCGGCGTCCGGGCTGGTCTGGCACAAGTGGGGGTGGTGGGCCAAAGCTGAGGAGAGAGGCACGGGGGCTGGAGGCCAGCGGGAGGGGCCTACCCACGCCAGAAAAGCAGGCTCCCTTCTCCTCCCCTCCGCCCCCAGCAGCCCGCAAAACGCCCGGGAAGCGCAGTACCTGAGAGAGAGGTGGGCCGAGCACGGGACCCCGGACCCAGGAGCAGCAGTAGCCCCACCCACAGGCCTGTGGGCGAGGGGCCGGGCCCCCTTTTCTGGAAGCCCATGAGAGGTCACCTCGGCCTCCGCCCTGGTGCTAGGAACCCCAGCATCTCCTCGGCGTGGCCGCGGCTGCAGACAGAACACAAGATCAAAGCCGCGAGGCCCTGGGCCCACAACCCTGCCGGAGCTGCTCTGTCCCAGGCTTCTGGAGAGAGATGAAAGGGACCGGGTTTCTGTCTCTCGGTGGAATTCGCGCCTCAGGTTTTCTGGGCGCAAGGGGGACCGGCCCGGAATGGAGGGTGAGCGAGAAGTGGGGCCGTGAGCCCCCAGGACAGGCACCGGGAGCTGGGTGAGCTCCTTGCCACCTGTTCTGCAGCTCCCTGGCTGCCCGTGGAAGCCCTGGGAGTTCTCACCCCTCTCTTTCAGCCCCCAGGGACCCCAGCTCCCTCCCTCTGCAGCGTAGCAACCAGCAAGACTACATGGAGACCAAGGGTGAGCCCTGCTTGGTAACCTTTCCCCTGAGCCTCACCGGCCCAGCCGCCCGCCTAAACAGAAGTTCCCAGTCCGACTGGATGGCGCGTGGCCACCAGGCAACTCCATGTCACCGAGAGGCTCTCTGGGGGTCCCCAGGTGCCTCGAACCCCTCCTCCCTCGTACCTGCCATTCCTAAGACAGGCATCTTCCCAGAAGCCCCGTGGCCACCAGCTGGCTGAGTTCAGTGTCTTTCCAGTGCCTACCCGGGGCCTCACAGCGTCATGCTCCCAGGACAACAGGGACAAACACCTGCCACCCTCCGCCCCCCCCCCCGGCGGGGGTGCCAAGGCAGGTGCCTGGGGACTGGAGCAGGAGGCGCCCTAATGGCTTTCCACAGCCAACACCAATTCTGTTCCAGCGCCAAGAACCAGGGCAGTTCCTGTAGAAACATTGCTGCGGCTGGGCCGGGCTCCCAGGGCAGCCTGAGCTTCCCAGAAGGTCAGGCCCTCGGGCTTCCTGGCTCATCCTTGCGGGGAGAACTGTTTTCCCAGCACCTGGAGATCGCTTAGTCTTTCCTGGTGGAAACCGGCTGGGTGGAGTGCCCCAGGCTCCGCACACTGTGAGGCTACTTTTTTTTTTTTCATATCTTTTCACTGACTGTGGGCTCCCAGAGAGCCACGCTACCCTTTTCGTATACTCCCAGCAGGACACGCCGAGCCGGGCGCTGCTTCCCGCCCCGGTGGTCCTGTGTGCCCAGGCTGTCAGCCCCAGGCCCACTCTTAGCTGGCTGCAATGAGGGCCTCCGCGGCGCCAGGGGGCGCTCTAGACGCCCGCGAGCGCAGTGGCCAGCCCCACCCGCGCCATGGGCTCCGAGGCCGCACAGCTGCTGGAGGCCGCAGACTTCGCGGCTCGCAAGCACCGGCAGCAGCGCCGGAAGGACCCCGAAAGGACACCCTACATCAACCACCCGATCGGTGGGCGCGCCCGGCCGGGGAGCAACCGTCGCGGCGCCTGGGGGCGGGGGCGGGGGGGGACCCGGAAGGGGTCGCGGGGGCCGTGCGCTTCCTTGAGCGCCCACTTTGTGCCAAGCGCTGTGCAGGCAGCGTCCGTGCGGCAGGCCAGGTGGGCCGCACTGCAACCCGGCGCAGTAAGCGTGACTGCTCCCTTCGCACGGTTGACACCCAAGCAGGGTAAAGGACTTGCCCAGGGTCGCCCAGCCTGTGAGGGGGTCTCTATCTGGCTGCCCACGACCCCACAGCCGCCATCTCGCGGCTCCCTCCGGTCTCACTCATTGTTTTGCCCCCATCTCACCCCCCACCCCCACCCCCATCCCAATCCGCCCGCCAGGTGTGGCTCGGATCCTGACCCATGAGGCGGGAATCACTGACATTGTGGTGTTACAGGTAACTGCCCCACTTCTCAGGAGGGTTCAGGCCCCCCCACACACACACCCTCAGCAATGGGCACCCCTGGACTGGCATCGCGTGGCTGAACGGGAGCCTGTCCCCAGGCGGCCCTGCTCCACGACACCGTGGAGGACACGGACACCACCCTGGACGAGGTGGAGCTGCACTTTGGGGCGCAGGTGCGGCGCCTGGTGGAGGAGGTGACAGATGACAAGACTCTGCCCAAGCTGGAGAGAAAGCGGCTGCAGGTGGAGCACGCGCCCCACAGCAGCCCGGGGGCCAAACTGGTGAAGCTGGCCGACAAGCTGTACAATCTGAGAGACCTGAAGCGCTGCACCCCGGAGGGTACGCTCCCCACCCTGCACTCCCCTGCTGGCCCTGGGGGAAGGGAGGGAGCAGCCCTCGGGAGGCCGCAGGTGGCTCCGCGGGTCCCACAGGCCACCCTCTGAGGTTTTCAGCACAGATCGCCCCATTGGGAGCTCGGGCCAGGGCCCTGCACCACACCTTCCCGGAAGTGGACAGCAGGTTCCTGTCCACTCTCGCGCAGGGTGGTCAGAACCTCGAGTGCAGGAATACTTCGAGTGGGCGGCGCAGGTGGTGAAGGGGCTTCGGGGAACAAACCGGCAGCTGGAAGAGGCCCTGGAGCAGCTGTTCAGCGAGCGTGGGCTGACGCTCTGAGCACCGGGGGCCAGGCCGCGTGCAGACCCCGGCTTTCGGGGCCTCCCCTTCTCCCTCCGCCCACGTACACTTGGTGCCCCTCTCTGCAGAGGCTCAGTTCTCCCCAGCGGGAGGCAGCTGTAGCCAGTCCGTTCCTAATGCACTCACTGCCTTTGCCCACGTCGAAGCCCTGAGATCGCTGGTCCCTCGGGGACGTGGGCTTGTTTACACTCTAGGTGATCAGCCACCAAGGAAAATAAAGCGTGTTGGGTAAAAGGAAGCTGCGGCTGCTCCTTCGCCTTGTCCGTGGCCTGCTCCCCGGGAGTGAGGGCCCCGCCCCTTCCAGCCTCCCTTCCCTAAGTGGCAGGTGGGTTGTATCCTTAGCAGGAAGCCTCCACCTTGGGAAAGTCGCGAGGGATGACGCATGGTTCGGAAAGGAGTGCCGCCCGCCCCCTGGCAAACCTCGCTGCCCACTGGGGAGACCCCAGCCGCCCCCACGACGGAGCCAGGAAACCGAGTCTCGCAGGCTCCTCCCCCGCGCAGCGGCGCTCCGGTTGCTAGGCGACGGGCAGTTCCGGCCCCGCCCCCTGCAGGCCTGGGGCGGGGCAGAGGTCGCCATCGCCAGCTGGTGGGGTTGGGTGGTGGCTGTGAAGCCGACCGAGGACAAGGAAACTTAGCTCAAAGGCCGCTGTGTGCTGGACCGCAGGACTGTTTTGCCCAGTGTAGGGCGAAAAGACGCGGAGCGGGAAGCTCCCGTGTAAACGGATACCCGAAGGCAGACCAGGGCATGCATGGCACGTTTTGGTTTACTTTTTTTTTTTTTTTAATTTGAGAGACAGAGATCTTCCATCTGTTGGTTCACTCCCCAAATGGCTGTAAAGGCCAGGGCTGGGCCAAGTCAAGTCAGGAGCCTGGAGCTTCTTCCAGGTCTCCCATGCAGGTGCAGGGGCCCAACCTCTTGGGCCATCATTTGCTGCTTTTCCAGGCCATTAGCAGGGAGCTGTAACTCTTTCAAATCTTTTTTTTTTTAAAGTGAGTTTTGCAGGAGTGAGATTACAGGAATTTTGACTTTATCCTTAGACAAAAACATATTTAAAAGAAAATTTGCAGTTGTTTTCTGGCTTTTTTAAAATTTATTTATTTGAAAAGCAGAGGGAAAGACAGCGATCTTCCACCTGCTGGTTCATTCTCAGATGGCTGAAATAGCCAGAACTGGGCCAGGCCAAAGGCAGGAGCTAGGAGGTCCATCCTGGTCTCCCACGTGTGTGGCAGGAGCCGGGTGTGTAGGCCATCCTTTACTGCCTATCCTGGTGAGTTAGCAGGAAGCTGGATCAGAAAGGGAGCAGGACTCCAACCAACTTACCCTGCTACTCCATAAAGATTTTCTGTTGTCTTAATTATAAAGTTCTTCTTAATTATAAATTTTTATATTCTTCGAAAAAAAATTTAAAGATTTATTTGAAAGACAGCGTCAGAGACAGGGAGAGAGCGAGAGAAAGATCTTTCATCGGCTGGTTCACTACCCAATTGACCGCAACGGCCGGAGCTGCGCCAATCCAAAGCCAGGAGCTTCTCCCGGGTCTCCCATGCAGGTGCAGGGGCCCAAGGACTTGGGTCATCTTCTACTGCTTTCCCAGACCATAACAGAGAGCAGGATCAGAAGTGGAGCAGCCAGGACTTGAACTGGTGCTCATATGGGATGCTGGCACTGCAGGTAGTGGCTTTACCCACTATGCCACAGTGCCGACCCCAAGTTTCTTCTAAATTTTTAAAATTAATATTTATTTGAAAGTGTTACTGAAGGAGAGGGCACGCTCACGCCAGAGAGTGGCACAGCTGCGACTTGAACCAGTGCCCATATGGGATGCCAGCATCTTAGGCCGTGGCTTAACTGTGCCACAACGCTGGCTCCCAAAGACACAATCTTGTCTCACAGTCTGGGAAGTTAAGATCGGGGTGCTGGCTGGCAAGGGCTGCTCTCTGCTCCCAGGACGGCGCCTTGTGGCTGTTTCCCCATGCACTGAGTGCCCAGGAGGAGGAACACAGCCCGCTCCCAGGGAAGAAGCCCTGGTGACCTAATCACCTGCTAAAGCTCCACCTCTTAATCCTCTTGTACAGGAGATTAAGTTGTGGGCGGACATAAATAGAGGGGCGCCCCAGCGTCCCGCCGCAAGGCCTCCCGTGGTGTCCGCCCGCGCTGGCTCCCTGGCCTGCACTGCCCGGCTCGGTGGAGTCCGCTTGAGTTGGGACTTCTTTTCTCGGCTATGGAGGCCCCGGGGTCAGTAGCTCTTCTGCTCATCCATTGGCCTTGGCAACTGTACCCATCTGAGTTTATGTCCCCCTGACTCTGAGAGAAGCTGGGGTTTGTTGCGAAGGACCTGGCCTCTCCTGCCATGTCTTACCCTGAGAATTACTCATTGAAGCATTAGCCCTTTGCCAAGGTTTCTACTGTGAGAACAAAGGTTGGGAAGCCTCACATCCACTGCCCTAGGTTGACTGATGTCTCCGTGAGTGCCTAAAGGGTTTTTTATGCACCCCAGTGCAAAGGGCAAGAGAGAAGCACGTCAAGTTCAGGGTAAAGGTGTTGCCCTCCCTGCACAGGTGCTCAAGGTTGTACCCACACCCTAGGCCACCTACATCACCTTCACTCAAGCCCTTAGGCGGTTCACTGAGTGCCTCTCTGTGCCACACAGGCCTTCCTGCTTCATGGAAGCTGGATGGTTCGAAGGTGGAGGGTTGCAGGGATGAATTGAATTACTTGCTTCTGGCGTGCCGGCTTCCAATGTCTCCGAACTGTGAGGCCTCGGGGCCAGAGCTCATTTCAAATGCCCCCAAGAATCAGCTGGGACCTTGTTAAAAATACACATTCTCTAGAGGCAGGTGTTTGGTCTCGTAGTTAAGATGCTTGCTTCCCACATCTGAGTACCGAGGTCCGATTCCTGGCTCAGGCTTCCTGCCAGTGCAGACCGTGGGAGGCTCAAGTGATTGGACTTCCTCCACCCACGCAGGAAACCTGATCTGGGTCCTTGCCACGCATGTGGGAGGCATGGGTGAAGTTCTGAGCTCTCAATTTCAGCCCGGGTGTTTAACCAGCAGATGGGAGCTCACTTTCCTTCTGCCTTACAAATTAAAAATTTTTTTCTTAATGCAAATTCTTTGGCTCCTTCTGCCGGAGATTGATGGGGGAGGTTGTACTCAGGAATCTGCATCTTCCCCCAACTCCCAGCTCTTGCTCCTGTTACATGGTTGTCTCGGGGCGGCCATGACTCTACCCAGGATCACTACAGAAGAGCCCTGTTCACCACAGGCCAGAAACCCCGGTTTTTTGTTATTGTTTAGATTTATTTGAAAGGCAGAGTTAGAGAGGCAGAGGCAGAGAGAGGTCTTCCATCTGCTGGTTCGCTCCCCAATTGGCCGCGACAGCCAGAACTGCGCTGATCTGAAACCAGGAGCCCAAGCACTTGGGCCATCCTCCACTGCCTCTCCAAGCCACAGCACAGAGCTGGATTGGAAGCAGAGCAGCCGGGACTCGAACCGGCGCCCATATGGGATGCAGGCACTGTAGGCGGCGGCTCCACCCACTTCACCACAGCGCCAGCCCCCA